AAAAGACGGGCGAATCACCCGAAGCTGAGATCAAAATTTATATACACAAGTTGGGAGGAAAAGACAAAGAAAATTGCAAATCCACGTCCATCAACCTCATCTCTCTCTCTCCCTCTCTCTCTCTCTCTCCGATGCCGACAGTCCGTCGTCACGCACCAACCCACGAAGTCGTCACCCCGCTTAGTCCTCCTGCACCCGTCAGGTTCGCCCGCGCGCTACAGTCAGTCGTAGCCCCACGCGTTAACCCCGCGCGTTCAGCACCAGCTCGTCGGGTCGCCCGACTGCCGCTTCAACTCACCTCTACTTCGCTCGTGAGCTGGCCTTCACTGATCGCGCTACCTCGAGCTTCCAACAACTGGTTAAGAGAGATATCTAGTCGCGCAGCCGAAATTTATAGTGTGCATGCATGCGCGAAGAACACGAAATTGCACGGGCTTAGAAAGGAGATTAGGAGAGGGAGCATCTACGTTCTGCATGGCCAGACCGGGACATGGGGGACGTAGCCACTCTCCACGCATCGATCCGAGCATGCAGGCCGCGGGCTAACTAGGCATAGCAAGAGGGAAAGAGAGAGCGGGAAAGACGGAGCTCAAGAAGCAAGATACAGTTACAATGGCGCCCGCCCAAAATTACAGTTACTTGCAAGATTAAGGGCGCCGACTAATCAGAGCTCCGTTGCAGCCGCAAAAAGAAGCGCGCAAGCAGAAGGCGTTGCTCGGCAAAAGAAATCCCAAATTCCTAAATTCCTAGCTAATGCAAAAAGAAGTACAAATTTCGAAAAGAAAATCGGAAGTTCCGAGAGCCGTCAAGGCTCGACAAGATTCAAAAAGGAAAAAGAAAATTCGAAAAGAACGAAGCGAAGTTCCAGCGCGATCTCCGTGCCTAAAATACGACAGCCAAAACAAAAAAGGAGACGATATCAACCATTAGTACTCGCGCGCACATCGGCGCGCCACTCAACCGATCATCCCAGGACTTGCCCAGCCCTGAACCCAGCCATCCGAAAAGAAGCGACATTAAAGGACGAAAAAGCGAGGACACCTATGCAACTTCCCCTCAATACCGATCTCCCGTAATTGGCCCATCCTTCCCATCTTAGGACCCCTCATTGTCTTCATGCAGAAAATCGCGCGAAACAAAAATTGGTTCGTCACAGTGCACACTATAGTTCTGTGTGGATAAGGGCCTCGCCACACCAGTGTTGAAACCGTGAAATATTTGCCAACTGTCAGACCATTTTCGACATGCAGGGCCTCGCCTCACGGATGTCGAAACACCGTTATTTTCAACAAATCTCAGGGAGTTTTCGACATTTGCTCGTTCAAAGAAAAAGAAAAACCTTCGCCACACAGCATGTTGGAAAGTGAAGAACTCGCAAGTGCAAGTACAGAAGAGACAAACTGGCGTGAGGGTAAGACAAGCCTTGGTCCGTCCCAAATAGACTCTCCGTTTCGTCATTCGGAGAAGAACTCGACATCTCATCGGAGACATGTTGAAAATGTTGAAGTTGCAGGCTGGGGAACCAGCCTCGTTCGAAACGAGGTGTCGAAAGCCTTTCTTTGACAACTTCTGAATCTCCTTTCCATCTCGGATTTCTACAGGCTGTGTGGCGAGGAGAAAATGTGGTGTGGCGAGGCCATCACGGTTTCAGCACAAAGGGGTGGACCCCACTGCTCGGCGGCTGGAAAAAGTGGTTGGCCATAAATAACGGTGGAACAAGTTTGGAAAGACTTTGGCGTGTTTCCGTGGGACCCCACCGCCAAAGTCTTTCCAAGGCACCGAAAACAGCAAAACATACCCGAAAAGGAAAAGTTGGAGGGTTCCCCCCTGAAAAGGAAAGTTGGGATGGGCTTGCCCAGCCTCAAAACTGTCCGCTGTGACGTCAACTGGACGGCACCCACTCGGCCTCTTCTTTCCATGTGAGAACATGGCCGCCCCCCCCTAGTCGGTTGGCAGGCCTTCCTGGAGAGGTCGTGGAAGGATGACATCGCCCGTTTCCAGGCCGCGAACCATGTAGAAATGCTTCTAGTCTTCTGACACCTTTCCCACTACGTCCTTCGATGGTTGAGTGGGTCTAAAAAACCTTTCCAGTGTGGGTTTCCATCCAGGTTTCCAGATGAGTGGAGTCCGAAAAACACCGGCCTGGATTTTTTTTCCAGGACGTCGAGCAGTGGGATCCACCCCAAAGGCTGCATTCGCCACACCGTATGTCGAAGTCCCAGGATAAGCAAAGTTTTGTTGTTAGAAACGGAAAAGAAAAGACAAGAAGAAGAAGAAGAAGCCATGGAATGTCCAGGCAGCGCCAGTACCCGGGACCCTCATAGATGTCGAAATCCGCTGCAGGCAGGCCTTTCTACACCCATGTCTAAACCACTTCTCTGTCGATTGTCTATGTGTTTTGAACGTTTTTTCTTTGACAGCCTGTGTGACAAAAATATACAGTGGCCTAACTCAGTTGGTAAGGCTCGCAAGTGGCATTCAGGAGGTTGTGGGCTCAATCCCCATTGACCTCATGTACCTTCCTGGGCATGGTTGGCGCCCGCCACCTAGAGATAGACCACTGGATCCCCCGATTGGCATTAAGTCTACTGATATTAAGTCTACTGATGTTCAGAAGCTGTAGAGGGGCAGGTTCTTTTTCGGTCATGGTTAAATGGACTCCGCCTTTCGACAGGGCACGGGTGTCACGGAACAGTCCCTGACAATGCAAATTTGAACGCAATTCTTGCAAGGCAGGTGGGGCACTTTCAAATTTCTGTCTCCTGCAGGCAGGAGGAAAAGAATGGGGGAGCGTGGCTGACGAGCGAACCATTCTGAGGGCCTAGCCACACCACTGTCAAAAGGCGAAAGAATTTGACTGCTGTCAGAATAAATTCGACAGCCTCCCTTTGACAGTTTGCCCCCCTTTAGCCACACAGCACTGTAGAGCGGACGCACTTGTGAATGCAAGATGGAAAAAGACGAGCGCCCCTGAGGGTAGGACAAACATTAGTCCATCCCGACCTCACGCCCACTCACCAAATTTCGAACAGAAGTCGATGGTGCAGCCGAGGACTGTCGAAAGCATCCGAGTAGTGACCAGCGGCCTATCTCAGTTGGTAAGGCACGCAAGTGGCATTCAGGAGGTCTTGGGTTCAATCCCCACTGGCCTCATCTACCTTCCTGGGCAAGCTTGGCGCCTGCCACCTAGAGATATGCCGTTGGTCCCCCCGAGTGGCATTGAGCAGAGACTGCTGATGTTCATAGGGGGAGGGGACCGTAGGGGAGGCACAGTGACTGGCCCATCGAAGAAGCTCGGTCCTGATGCTACCGGCTGACCCCTGGCCGGTATCGCCCACCTGCTGTAGCAGGTATCGCACCGGCTGGTGGGTGCAGCTCCCGCATGTTCCCTCGTTGTAGGCTTGAGCACGGATGTGGCTGCTACGGGGTTCCCCGTAATACTATAATGACAATAAAAAAAAGGCCTGAAAGGCCGTCCTGTCCGGATTTGACAGGTAATTGAATTGTTTGGGCTTAAAGCATTAGCCTTTTAACAAAAAAAAAAAAAAAAAAAAGCATCCGAGTAACAGGCTGGGGATTGGGGAAAGTCATAGAACCTCCCGGCTATGAAACCTTTGTATCCTTTTCCCCCAAACGGGGAAACACGGATCTACCAAATCCACAAATGTACTATTCCTGTGCCCATTTGTCAGGCTGAGCGGCCTGGGAAGCCACGGGGCAAGGGATTTTGCGGTCACCTCTGGAGGTGACCGCAATGCCTTTTTTGTTTTTTTGTTTTTTTTGCGGTGACTGCAATGCGCTTTTTGTTTTTTGCATTTTCTTCCAAATTTGGCAAAATTTCGTTTACAAAAGTTCTTGCACAATTAGTGGATGGAGCCCTGTGACCAGCCAAGTACCAAATCCCCATTTCTCCAGACGGCCATGACCTTGTCCCATCTGAAAAGGTACAGCACTGTGACGTGAACCATGCCCAAAATCTTAAATAGGCCCTTTCCAAATCCACATATTTTGGGGATTTGGGGTCGCTGTGTGAGTATGCCCTCAGTTGGTAACGCAGGCAAGTGGCATTCAGGAGGTCTTGGGTTCAATCCCCATTGGCCTCATGTACCTTCCTGGGCATGCTTGGCGCCCGCCACCTAGAGATAGCCCGTTGGTCCCCCCAATTGGCATTAAAACGCAGTCTCTGCTGATGTTCATAGGGGAAGGGGTAATGGGGGAGGCATAGCGACTGGCCACTCAGATGATGTTGGGTCCCTCTGCTACCGGCTGTCCCCTGGCCGGTGTCCCCCATTGGGGGTTCCCTGAAGGCACTCAAGGCCACCCTGGGCTGAAAAGGCCATCCGATGTCAGATAAGACACAATATTGAATTTACCTGGGCTGGTTAGTCCGATGATAATACCTCAAGGCCATCGCCCTTTCAAAAAAAAAAAAAAAAAAAAAAAAAGGAATCCGCTATCACCGCAAGAGAGACTTCTGAACTCCTTCATTTTTTTGATTTTTTTTTGAAACTCTTTGATTTGTGAGATGATCTCTGTCCATCGCAGTTACTTCAAAACTATTAAAGTCAGTCGGTTAAAATTGAGAAGATTCAGTAACAGAATGCGGAGTTGGTGACAACTACTACAAGCCCAATGCTACAGTGCCGTAACACTTTTACACGTCCGCGACAGCCAATGATGGCAAGACGTCCAGCGCATACCCGGTCTTGCTCTAAGATACCTTTCGCTGAATCTAATGAATGCTGCACACATCGAAATATTACCAGTTTCAGGTCTTGGCACGCACGGTGACTTTCACCTGCCAGCAAGTGAAAGATTTCAACACCTTCCAGCCTGCTGGCTGTGCGCAAGGCAGAACACCTTCCATGTAACAGTTAATAAGCAGGTCAGGAGCTAGAATTCTACCCAATACTACAATGCTAGTGGCTATCCCTCGCTGAGACACAAATGAATACATATATAAGAGTATTGAATTTTACAGTTCTCATCCGTTCCCTCACTCTAGGAGCACTTTGTGATGCTCTTGTGACTCGGCATCATCGTCCTTGCAGATGGTATCCTCGGCCTCTGACATCGCCAGAAGGTACTCCATGTCCATTGTTCTGATCAAGAAGTCCCATCCTACATCGAGAAGCATGCTGTGGAAGCGCTGCACAATAGCTCGCATTGCCGGCCTTGACCCATAATCCTCATGGACACATTCCCACGCCAGTCTGAAAGTGTTCACCACCATCTGCCTCGTAGAGTCTCCCGCCATCTGATCCCACAAACAGCGGTCAAGAATAGCACGTGGCACGTCCAGGCTCGGGTCTTGGGCTGTTTCACTGTCGCCCCGAAGGAAAGGCTTCACCCAGTCCACAAGTGTCTGCCATCCCACCCCAGAAGGCGCCCGCGTGACCACCTTCCTTCCCGTCAGCAGCTCCAGTACAAGAACCCCAAAGGAGTACACATCATTCTTCTTGGACAGCTCGCCTCTCAGCATGTACTCCGGCGACATGTACCCGAAGGTGCCACCAATGTGAGATGTGATAACAACGTGGTCGTGCCCTGTGTCCAGCACCCTCTCCCCGATGGCCGCCAGTCCGAAGTCAGCCAGGACTACGTAAAGTCTGTCCCCACAGTCATCGCCAAGCAGGACGTTGCTGCTCTTGATGTCCCGATGAATGATGGGAGGCTTGGCATCATCGTGTAGGTACTGGAGTCCCCTGGCAATCTGGAAGGCAATGCTCATGCGCTCCTGGAGAGTGAGCGGCGGAGGAGAATCCTCTGCGAGTTCCCTCTGGTTAGCAGTGTGAGGGAACAGCCGCTCGTGCAAGCATCCGCCTCTGAAGTAAGGGTACACCAAGATGCACTGGTTGCCCTCCTGGCAGTAACCAGTGAGCTGGATGAGATTGACGTGATTAACTGCACTGAGAGTGTTCACCTCCGCCACGAACTGGTTCCGTTTCACGTCCGTCAGCTCACCGGTCATCACCTTGATTGCCACGTCCTTGCCATCGAGCGAGCCCCTGTAGACTTTCCCGAACGCCCCTTTGTCCCCGATGCGATAGGTCTCGCTAAAATTCTCCGTGCAATCCGACAGCAGTTTCCAACCAAACTGCTTGACGCGCGACGGCCTCAGTCCCCAGAAATCCATAGCAGTGCAGTCCTGTACGGATGAAGTCGTCGGCCGGGCGAGAACGGTACGGTTAATACTGACCGGTTCCAAAGCTCGACGTCGACGCTTTACAAAACCGCGAACGCTAAACCCGATGCAGATTGCTATTGCTATAAATATAAATATCAGAGGAGCATATAAAACTAAATATACAGTGTATGCTAGATTAAGCCGCAGGGTGGGTACAATAACTTCTATGAAATAGATCACGCCTGCGAGTCCCGACGATGGCAGATTGACAGGAAAAAAACTCAGTGCAAGTTTATATCCCAGCATGGAATTGATGTCGCTGTCTAATACCATGTACGGTTCGTTTTCACAAGGGCTCAGTTCCGACCCGTTCAGCGGAACGCGATACACGCTGCCATCGCTGGTTCCAACGTAGAGGCTTAAGCCGTCGCTGTCGTTACCGAGTGCCAATGCCGTAACATCCGCTTCTCCGAAATAATGTGGGAGCACCCGCTTTTCTTTGAGACTACTGCAGGGCCCCCAGAGTTTGAAGACCGCAACTGTGTTGTTTGCGGTCGTGAACACGTGACATCCTTGAGGCGTTGCAACCACGTCCATCTCTTTCCCCAGGAAAGGAACGAAAGGGGGTGCGATTGAAGACTGGTCGAAATGTCCATCCCCAAGCTCCCTCCCGAACAACCCGTCATTAGAAGTCACGGAGTAAAGGCAACTGCCGTCAGAGACAAGGCTTCCAGACTGGAACTCCTCGTCAGGATCGATACCCATTTGAAAGTCCAAATGGGACACCTGGTTCAGAGGGCTGTTAGGAAGCCCGACATCGTTCACGGTGACGTTAATTAATGCAGAATCAAGTTGCAAATAGTAAAGAAAACCCTTGTTAGACTCTAACGCCCACGCCTGGACCAATTTGCTCAATGGGTCGGAGGACGACCGAGAGCCGTCAGCGAGCGACAAAGATGTGAACCTGGAGCGATTTTGGTCACCCGATATGGTTCCACTGTCCCATATTACTTTCGGGTCCCCATTGGTTACGCTCAAGACGAGATGCATCCCATCTTTCGACAGACCCATTCCTGTCACGTGAGCCCCTCCAAAATCCGCTGGTTCGCGGATTATTGTCCCGTTAGGCTGCCCGAATGGCCACATGTAACTTATCAAGGAGTCGTCGTCCTCCTGCGGGCCGGAACCGTTGCCGTCCTGCACCTGCGATAAGTTCAGTCTCCTAATCGACAACGCCCGACCCTCGAGAATACCATGCACTGGGCCGGACTGGTGCAGGATATAATACAATTCACCCGAGCCTACCACCAGGTCCGTAATTACTGACCGGCACTCTTCCCCCGCCGTCTCATTCGCCCGCGGGGTATGCAACGTCACGCGCGTGACGGAACCGTTTACAAACGGCGAATACTCTATCTGCTGCTCTTTCTGCGGTGCCGCTGGAGCGGCACTCGTCGACTCCTGAAGAAGGCGATCACCCGCGTGCCAGCTGGGCTTGGAGGCAAGACTCCGAAGCCCGGTTCTAAGAGCTGATCCCCGGCACGCTGTGAGTACGAGGACCAGATAACAGCCACACACCATAGTGACTGCTGCTATTGCCATCAAATAGACTGTGACCAATCGCGCTCGGGCACAGAAATAGACGCGAAGACGCCTGCAATAATCACATAAAGCGATATAAAGGTCCGTAACAGGACAGGGGAGCTTCATATCCCCAACCCGTACAGCTGCTCACCCACGCTTAGTATTCACGTGAGAAACCCCTCCGCCCCAGGCAAAACTGATCCTAAACTGCCCAACCGAAGTCGCCTTCCCTTACTGAACGACAAGTACGTACTCTTGATGCGCAAGTCACCGGAGTTAGTGCATACTTACCTGAATTGGATTGCCTGGACTGAATCCATCCCTGAAGAAGGACAAATGCAGCCGGCACAGACCCAGTGGGAGTGTTTGCCGTCACTGAGCTAGCACTCTAACGCTGACTGGCTGTGATGTAGATGGAGGTTCTGCCAATATCTTCCATTCTGCGAGCCGTCGGCAGCCACGCGGTGACACGAAGCACGGTCATCCGCGGGCATTGAGCGGCTCAATCGAACACCAATTACGACCCAAAAATGAACTAAACAAAAAACGTCGATCCAAAAATGAACTAAACAAAAAACGCCGATCCAAAAATGAACTAAAAAAAAAACGGCGGGTGAATTCATCCCTCAAGCTCATCTGCGCTCAGCCGCTATTCCTATTCTTTGCTCCCCTGCGGTCGCTGCCTCCATGGTGTTCCCGAGGGTTTCGAACGATCATGGCAGTCGTCACGTCAACTTAGCAAAGTTCACAAACCAGCGGTACATACCAATGATGCCAGGTTTGCTCAACGGAAACCGACATCACGTCGTGACAAAAAAAAAGAAAAAAAGAGATCTTCGCTATCCAAAAATCAGAGACTGGATGTCGACGGCTCATGCAATGGAAAAGCAGTTGCTTCGTTGCTGACAAAATGATAATCAAATTCAGAGAGTGAAGAGACGGGACAGGTGGCGACGGGAGAAGCGCCGGCCTTGTACCGTCAAAAGAGGCGGCATCACTATGGCGGGCCGTCTCTGACTGTGCCCTGAGACATATCCCTGAAAATGTGTCGAGGGRAGTGTGACAAGTAAGGATCTTCTCAGAGCGAGCGAGCAAACGCGCGCGCGCGCGCGCGAGAGAGAGAGAGAGAGAGAGAGAGAGAGAGAGAGAGCAGGGGTGGAGAGGCGGGCGGGCTGTAAGGAACTCTCAATGGGGCAGCTTACGCAACGGAACTTCGACATGTAATCGCATGTGCAACATAGGAGTCCAGTAGAGAAGCGCCAGCCAGTGCACGACTAGAGCAGTGGGTGAGAGTATGCTTTTGCGATGGAGATCCCTTGTCCCGCCAACGTGACAACTGACGGTGACAAACTGCCACGCGCGCGCACACACACACACACACACACACA